TCATCCCGGACGCAGTGGCTTAAAACTCATGCGGGACTCGTGTGCGTGCGTGCCCAAGATCCCGAGAGGAGAATGGACGAGAAGGGACTGCAGTGTGGCCATCCCCTCTGGGGGGTGATTTCTCACTTTCTATCTCTCTGTCTCTCTCTGTCTGGCTCGTGGGCCCTATAGCAAAAACCTCTAAAAAAAGAAAAAAACAAAAACAAAAAATGGTATTATGAATTAAAATTTATCAATGTTTTTAATCAAATGATTTTAAGCTGTTTTAACCTCAGACTATATTTTATTCTATATAATCTAAATTATTATTTGAATGATATCTGCCTTAATTTGCAAACAAATTTTACTTTTCATACTCTAATGCACAGATATCACTCATCAATGAGTGATAATGAGTTAGTGTAGTGTAAAGATAAAAAACTGAAACACAAGAGGAAGGGGAAAAAAGGGATTTCTGAGTTTATTCATGAAATTTCACATGCTTAGCTTTAACTGTCTAATAGAGCCAAAGAGAGAAAACATATACTGAAAAATAAGTCTTACTAACTTTCTGACTACAAAAAAACTAAGTTCTCTGAATTTTACAACATAATCTTTAAATAAACTGAGTATATAAAGAATTTTCACAGCACTTACTGGTCACACTACAAGATATAAACAACAAGGCAAATCATTCCCACTGCTATCTGAAATTTTCAGAAACAAAAAATGTATACAGACAGAAATAACTAAGGTGCCTAAAACTAAAACTCCTACTCTGCCATTTCTCTTTCTTGAGAGGTTCATACTATAGTGTGTGTGTGCTTGCCAGAAAGAGAGACAGAGAGACAGAAAATGAGAAGTCACCCCCTGGGGGGATGGCCACTCTGCAATCCCTTCCTCTTGGGATCCTGGGCATGCACTCACTTGGGCCCAACATGAGTTTAAGACACCGGGTCCAGGACTCAAACCGCAGTCAACTACATGGGAGTCTAGTGACATAGCCATTACACCAACTGCTGGTCCTACCCAATACACAGAATAGCAGTAAATAGGCAGACTGATCCCACAGAAATGTTTCTGACTAACATTTACTTCAAAATTGTCACGGTACCATAATAACCGATGCTGCAGAAAACATAAGTAAAATAAAGCACCATATGAAAATGTCCAGCCACTGAGCAGAAATAATTACCTAAGGGTTTTTCTTTGTTCTTGTTACATTCTAAATCTTGCTGAGGATCAGCAGTATCTAACTCAGTTTCCTGCTCAGAAGGTTCCCTTTTTGGTTCTTTTGTGCCGAAAGCTGGGGTCACCAAATTTCTGTTCTTGGTTATAAATTCACTACTTTCATCTTCCTTGCATGAATGCTTGTTACTTGTGCCACAATTTGAATCTTGATGTTGAAGAATATCACTTGATTTAGAATTATAGAACATATCTGCTTTCACCCCCATCCCACAAATTCCAGCTTCTTCCATAGCGCCAGTTAGAAACTAAACAAAGGAAGAGGAAAAAAGATAATTAAAAGTAATTCATGGAAGCAACAAATGTAGTACAGAAAAGCATTTTCTATCACAGTGCTTTCAATTTACTTTTATTCTTCCATATATTTTACAATCAAGGCATACTAGTTTTGTAGCACTTTTTTCTTTAATAGATGTTTTAAATAATACTGCTACTGAAACAACACAAAACCTCTCATTTTTAAGTTTCACATAAAAATGATCTAACTGCAAAAAATAAAAATAATAAAATTAAAACAAGGGGCTGGACGGTGTTACAGCAGTAATACACAACACCTTTTTTTTTTTTTTTTTGAAGAGGTGTTTTCACTATAGGGCATGTGTGCTCGCCAGACAGACAGACAGACAGAGAGAGAGACATAGAGAGAAAAAGCGAGAAATCACCCCCCAGGGGGGATGGTCATGCCGCAATCCCTTCTCCTCCATTCTCCTCTCGGTATCTTGGGCGGGCCCGTACACACAAATGCCCTGCGTGAGTTTTAAGCCACCGGGTCCGGGACGCGAACCGCAGTCGACTATGTGGGAGTTCAGCAACATAGCCATTACACTAACTGCTGGTTCCCAACACAATGCTTTATCAGGTAGACCCATGTAGGAAAATTCTGCCTTCCCCTCAGAAAGCCCTCTTGTGCATGTTGGGCACACATGTGTGATAATTGGAGACTGGCTGGAAGTGGGGTAAGATCATGTTTAGGGTGCTCTGTCCGTTGCTCACAGAAGAAATAAACACAAATATAATGAGTTGCTACAAGGAATCACCAAATAAGGGTAGAATAACTCCAAGACACAAAACAGCTAATAACCTGAGAAAGCTGTTAGAAACAAATTTTTCAAACTTCCAGAATCTTCTGAAAACTTAGTATACAGGGTACAGGTTAGTGACTAAAAAAGGAGTTTCATAAACATATTAAAAAAAAAAACCCTAAAATTTTAAATAGTTCCTCCACCAATCCCCATACCCGAGCGCATCAGCCAGGAGCTATAATAATGCATATTATCTTCTGTTGGTTTCTAGTGTCAGAATGAGTAAAAAAAACCTTATTTTCAAAGAATTGTAATCACACAGCTTTCAACTTCTTTGTCCACTATACACAAGAAACCTGTGAATAAGACTGCCTTTAGTTTTGCCAGTAGAAGAGCTGTCTTGGGGCTGTGACAGCACAGAAACATAAAAGCATTAATGGTACATATTTTGACTGCAGCATTCTAGGGTAAGGGACAACAAAAAAAAGCTAGTAAGAGTAGAAAAGGAAACAGGCGTGAAAAAATTCAGGTACTTAAAGCTCCCACTTTAGAAGCCCACTTTCTTCCTGGACTTTAGATCTGGTCTTCAAATGTAAGTGAAAACTAAAGCAAAATTATAAATAGCCTGGCCTAGGGTCCATAATATATGAAAGCAAGAGAAAAAAATAAGGTTTATTAATGTTGACCCATTCTTTCCTTTCATATCCACTGATTTGTTCCTTTCTGATTTCAACTATTTTAAGAATGACTGTCACCAGGAAGCCAAAGGCAAGACACAGATGTATTGGCATGCAAAGAAACTTTGAGAATGTTAGACTCAAAATTTTATGACTGTTAAACACAGGTTTTGCTCAAGTCACTGTTGTCTCTGGTTCTGATGGAGGATGTTTCTGAATTCACTAATGGGATTTGGGCAGGGTTCACAATAGAGAAAGAAGCTGATGCAGCCATGTAGATTATGCACATTGGGCTGATTTAATAAACTACAATTGTTACTTCTAAACAATCCACAGAAATAACCATAATAATACACCAGTTATGGGACATAAAAAAGGCATTACAACAAATACCACAAAAATTTAAAGAGACTACTATGAACAGCTACATGCCAGCAAATCAAAAAATCTAAAAGACATGGACAAATTTTTGCATATACACAACAAACCATGACTAAATCAAGAAAAGCAAAACCTGAACAAATCTATATGAAGGTACAAGACTGAATCAGGATTGGAATACCTGGTTCCAGCATGGATGGTATAAGAAGACAGACCTACAGAGAGCTCATGGCTCACCTTCCCTCATACGCCTTTAAACTCTCAGGTGTGTTCACAGGGATCAGAAGGTTCCATACTTCCCTGACCTCATGGCATTGAAATATCTGGTTTCAGTGATGACAGTACAGGTTGCAGGCTGAGCGTCAGAGAGACAGAGCTACAGAGAGACTGCTGCTCACATACCCTGCCAGTATGTTTCAGAATGCCTGGTGTTCTTTGAGACATCACATTTTACTGGTCCCCTCAATGTGTACAACACATCTCTCCATTTAGCTACATCTTCCTGCTTAACTCAGATAAACATGGTTCAAAAACTGGGGACAAACCGAACATCACAAGTTGGATACATAAGCCATTCTCTGATCAGACACACAAGGCCCTCTTGAAAGAACACACCAGAGAAGTAGAGCATATCTTTCCCTGACATTATAGGATGAACTCCAAGAAATTAGAAATATATAACATATCAGATGCCCAGAAACCAGCACAGAGACGCAAGATATATGAGAAACCATGAAAATATCCCTCCCTGAAGAGAAAGGAACAACTCATAATCATTCAGAAAAGAATTCCTAGAAATTTCAGATAATTCAGGATACAAAGTGAAAAAACTAAATGAGATCCAAGAGAAAAGAAAGAATGAATGTGAAGAGATGAGAAAGTCCAACCATGATTGAAATAAATGGATACCATAAAAAAGAATGAAACAGGGAACCAGCAGTTAGCGTAATGGCTATGTCACTGGACTCCCACGTAGTCGACCGCGGTTCGCGTCCCGGACCCGGTGACTTAAAACTCACGCCGGGCGCGTGTGCGTGCGTGCCCAAGATCCCGAGAGGAGAATGGAGGAGAAGGGATTGCGGCGTGACCATTCCCCCTGGGGGGTGATTTCTTGCTTTCTGTTTCTATGTCTCTCTCTGGCGAGCGCACGCGCCCTACAATGAAAATCTCTCCAAAAAAAAATGAAACAGAACTGTTAGAGATGAAGGCTGTAATACAGGAAATCAAGTATCTTACAAAAATATTAAAAGCAGATAAGATTATGCAGAAGATTGAAACTGAAATCTGAAAGACCAAATCTTTGATCTAGAAAGGAATTACCAAAAAAAGAAAAGAACAAACAAACAAAAACAAAGAAAAAAAACATGGATAACAGACAAGAAATACTACCATTAAATTCCCACACATCAGAATAATTAGTATCCCAGAGGTGAAAATCTATTAAGGACATTAATAATCTAGTCCACGAAATCATGGAAGCCTTGAGAAGCAAACATCCAGACCCAAGAAATACAAAGGATCTCAAACAGAATCAACTCAAGAAGATCCTCTTTACACACATCACAGCCAAAAGACCAAAACACAGAAAAAGACAAGACTCTAAAAAGGGCAAGAGAAAAATGTCAAGTTAATTACAAAGGTTATTCCACCAGGCCAACATAAGACCTCTCAGTGGAAATAAAACAAACAAGGAAAAAAATAGAAAGATATATTCAAAATACTAAAAAAAAGTTTTTCAACCAAGATTACTATACCTACCAACATTATCCTTCAAAAAGGAAAAAAAAAAGATAAAAACATTCTCAGATTAAAAAAAAAAAAGAATTTGCCAACACCAGACTGCTCTCCGAAAAGTAGTAAAGAGTTCTAAGCCAGGAAACTTAAGACAAACAGACAAAAATAAGAGAACAAAAACAACCAAAAATGTCTTAACATAATGACAATGACAAGTCCAGAAATAGCAAGAATAAGGTTGAATGTTAATGGATTAAATTCTCCAATCTAAATACTGAGAGACTGACTGGCTGAAGGAATAAAAAAGAAACAAACCATCTACAAGAAACACACCTCATGAGGGACCAGCAGTTAGTGTAATGGCTATGTCGCTGGGCTCCCATGTAGTTGACCGCAGATCGAGTACCGGGCCCAGTGACTTAAACTCATGCAGGGTGCATCTGCGTGCGAGCCCAAGATTCCAAAAGGAGGAAGGAGGAGAAAGGATTGTGGTGTGGCCATCCCCCTAGGGGGGTGATTTCTCGCTCTCTGTCTCCCTCTGTCATTCTGGCGAGTGCACGTGCCCTATAGCAAAAACCTCAGCAAAAAAAGAAAAAAAAAACACACACATCTCATGGATAAAGACATACACAGATTAAAAAGTGAAAGGCTGGAAACAGGTATTCCATACAAAGGGAAACCAATTAGGACTGAAGTAGCAATATTGATTTCATACAAAATAAACTTTAACACAAAAACTGGCAGAAGAGACAAAGAAGAGCATTAGTATATAGCAGAAAAGGGTACTTGATCAAGAAAATATCAATCCACCCAAATAAGGAACACCTAAGTATGTGAAGAGATGACTATTGATATAAAAGGAGAGAGATAATGAGTATACGAGCTTCCATAACCTACTGGATACAGCAAATATAAGAGGGAAGTTTATAGAAATTAGTGTGCATTAAGACAAAGATGGAAAGGTACCAAATGGACTAACATCAATACCTAACATCATACCTAGGAAATAGGAAAAAAAGAAATCCAAAAATTCCAGGAGAAAAGTAATAAATAATGATTCAGGCAAAAACAGAAGTAGAAAATGGGACCAGCAGTTGGCGTAATGGCTATGTCACTGGAGTCCCATGTAGTTGACCACGGTTCGAGTCCCAGATCCAGTGGCTTAAACTCACGCCGGGAGCATGTTGTGTATGTGCCCAGGATCCTGAGAGGAGAATGGAGGAGAAGGCCATTTCCCCGGTGGTAATTTCTCACTTTTTGTCTCTCTGTCTTTCTGATGAGCACATGCACCCTATAGCAAAAACCCCTCCAACAAAAAAAGAAAAAGAAAGAAATAGAAAATAAATTATACAGAAAATAAATTAAAGCAAATATTGGTTCTTTGAAAAGAACAAGAAACAAGATTGACGCATGAGCAGATAGACTGATTAAGAA